GTGCGTCGCGAGGAAGAGCGCCGCGTCGACGTCCAACACCGCGAGGTCCGGCGCCTCGACGAGGAACCGCTGGTAGGACCGCTGGTCGTCGCCGCCGCAGTACGCGAACGGCCCCTTGAGATAGGCCAGCATGCGCCGCAGGTCCGCCGCGGCGCCGGCGAACGCGCCGCTGTTGAGGTAGGGGCCGTTCCCGAAGCGGGCCTCGCAGACGGCCGCGTCGGGCCAGCAGGCCCGCTCCGCCGCGAAGACGACGCGGCCCGCGTGGCCCGCCTCGCGGAACGCCTGTGCCGAAACCAAATCTTCAACCCGACTTCAATGTGAGCGTATTCGAATGTTTTGACACAAGCTCTTCAGCTGGGCTTCGAGAACTCGACGAGAGCGATCGATCCGTCCAAAAATCAGCCGAATCGACTTTGATTTGACCGAGCTAGAGAATTCTCAAGTTTGGTCAGGACCACCCAAACCAGTGGTTGGTTTCGGCACAGCGGAACGCCCGCGGTAGGTGTGCTACTTTTGGTAACAACAGCACGTCGTAGGCGTCGACGAAGAGCACGAGCGTCGCGTCGGCGACGGTTTCTAATCTCTCGTCGAGCAGGCGCAGCTTGAGGTCGTGCGCGTAGGGGTCCAGGCCCAGGCCCAGGACCTCGAGGTCGACGCCGGCGCGCGCCGCGGACCGCTCGAGCGCCGCGAGCCCCGCGGTCCGCGCGCTCGCGACGGCGACGACGAGCAGGTCGTCGCTCGCCGGTAGGATCGCGCGCGCGAGGTGCGCCGGCCGGAAGACGGCCGCGAGCGCCGCGCGCGCGCCCGCGCGCCCCGCCGCCTCGTCCAACGGCTCCAGCGGCGCGAACGCGCGCGGGTCCCAGGCGCCACCGAGGACCGTGGCGTCGAGGGACGCCGACGCGTAGGCCGCGAGGTCCCGGAAGCCGCGGCTCGGGTGGTCCGCGGCGCGCGCGAGGGCCGCGGCGACGGCGTCGCGCGCGCTCCGCGGGTCGGCCGCGCCGCGGAGCGCGGCGAGCGCGGGCGCCGCGGGCCCCTTGAACAGGTCCGACACGACGCGGTAGGGGCCGCAGAGGCTCGACGGCACGTCCGCCGCGTCGAGGCCGAAGGCCCGGGCCGCCGCGTCGAGGCTCCGCGCGGCGGCCGCGGCCCGGTCGACGATGTCCGCGACGGCGCCGGGACCGTCGGGCGCCGCCGACCGCTCGAGCGCGTCGAAGCCGTCGCGCGTCGCCGCGCGCGCCGCGGCCCAGCCGAGGCGGCGCGCGCCCGCGCCGTCGCCGACGAGCCGCGTGGCGTCCGCGTAGTGGAGGAGCGCGGCCGCCGC